TCAGCCCCTTTGACTCTATAACTTGATGCTGAGAACTTGGGATTACTTCTACTGATTCAGTGACTTGATATGGTGGTTCTGGAGTCACACTCACTGTTTCAATGGCTTCCATTGATTTCATGACTTGATTTGATGGGTTTGAGAACAAACCCACAGGTTCTGTCACTTCTGAATGTGATTCTGGGATCATTCCCATGGAATCCATGACTTGAAGCAATGCCAAGGGAGTAACCTTTATGCTATCTGTGACTTGATAAGGTAGCCTTGAGGTCAACTCCACATCAGTTACTTGGGTCTTCTGCTGTTGTACCGTTTTCTCTGGAAGATCTACAACTCTCTGCTTTATACTAAGCTCTAGAACATGTTTTGGGTACTTCTGCAATAAGGTGGTTTCCTCTTGAGTTTTGTCAACTCCCAAGATTCTGGGAAGCGGAGTGCCCATGAATGTAACTAAAGGTCTGGATCCAAGGATTTGGGGGCCATCCTCAAGTTTTGGCTGCTTACCTGGGATAAGTGACTGTGAAATTTTTGTTTCTGCCCTGTTTAATCCATTTCCCACTCCACTGTTTACCTGGAGCTGAAATGATGAAAAGTCTGGGGATTTATTGTTGACATTTTGCTCAATATTTTGATGAATGGGCATAGATGACTGGGTTTGGGGTTTCTCTGGTTCACGAGCTTCTTGTACTTTGATTAAATAATCCAACATTGCCCATGATTCCCTCACAGCCAGAGGCACTGTTTGTTCCCTCAGACTACAAACCTTCCAAGCCATATGTCCCTCTAGCTCCCACCTAGCCAAAGGAGAGAGCCGGATTGGAGCCCACTCTAGAATCTGTGGTCTCTCCTTGCAAACAGAATTTGGCCCACAATCTGATGTCAAATGACTCTTGCTCCTTCTCTCATTCTTTGTTTTCTCTTGTTTGTAGAGATGTGGGGATTCAAAAATAGAGTTGATGAAAGACCCTTGAGGTCTCAAGGGTGAAGGAGCTGCCAAATTCTGAAAAAGCTTCGATTTCTCGGGTTTGGGGAGCCAAAAAGAAGGCAGGGATGTGTCTTGGTTTCTGAACATAGAAGATTGCTTTTTAGGGGAAAGAGGTAAGCTATGGCTCCGGTATTGCCAAGTGGTTCCTTCAGGAAAGTGAGAAAGGCTGGAGATGTTGCCCAGTGATCCAGAGGAGATGCTGCGGCCAGTAGAATGCTTTGCCTTCTTACAGTTACAACTGGGTAAAACAGGCTTCTGAGCCACAAAAACAGAGGAGCTGGAGGAAGAAGTCATATCCTGTGGTTCAGACAAAGACAGTCCCAGAAGATTTGATCTAAGAAATAAAGAAAGAAGGTTTAATTTGCTTCGAAGTAAGAAATGATGAGAAGGGAAAGAGAATTGTCATTTCAAAAGCAAATACTCTTGGCCTAAGGAAGAGAATAATAATAATAAAAGGGCAACTTTCCCTAACATCAATTATTTATGGAAAGAATTTCTGTCCCGGGTCAAAAAGAGACAATTGTTACTATTCCAATAAAAAAGGATCTCTAGACCAGTGATCCCATTATGTTCTTTCAAAATTTTATTTACTATTTTGTTATTGAGAATATATCCAGCAATTCAACAGTTTCCACATGTATGATTCAGTAACAATGATTACATTCTTCAAGTTGTGCAACCATTCTCACCCTCCTTTTCTGAGTTGTTCTTCCCTCATTAACATAATTTTTAAATATTTTTAACATAACTGCCCCCTAATGTTCCTATCTAATCTTTTGAATTGCTGTCATCAATTTGATCCTATATTTATAGCTGCATAATAAAAAAGATCATAATAAACTCAGACATATTTTATTAGTTAAGTTAAACTATCGGTTGCTTTTAAGATGACTTTAGGCGATATTTTGGTTTAAGATTTAGAGATTATCTCAGGTCATTAGTTATGGGGGTTCATCCAACCTCCATGATTCCAGAAAAGCTAGATTCCATGAGAATTTGAAATTCTGTTCTAGATTCCCCCCTTTTAATCAAAATTCTTCTATAGAATCCTTGATCAAAACATTCAGTAGTGATAGCTGAGCATATAGTTGTTCTTTAGATTAGTAGTTCTTAAACTTCCTTTGAAAGCCTAGAATTTTCTCCCAATGCCAAAATAACTTTCTGTCTCCTCTCCCTCACTCTCTTCTCCTCTTTTCCATCCTCTCCCTTCTCCCGTGCCTCCCTCTTTTCTCTTTTCTCCTCTTCTTCCTCCTTTACCCCTCCCCCCTCTAAAATCTTCTACTTCCTTCAATCCTGCCTAAAAATTACTATTCTCTTACCTGGCCCTTTCCAGGTGTCTGAAAATGTGTTGTAGACTCCTGTCCATTGACCAGAGTGCATATTCCTGGGCCCAGCCCACAGGGAATCCTGAAAAGCTGGATACAACAGCATACATCAGCATAATGGAAGTAATATTAAAGTATTGGGAAGGAAACGAATAGGAAGAGAGATTTGGTAAGGAGACAGCTATTCTTGTGAGGGAAGTAAAACAGAGTTCCAGGTATCTTACTCCTAACTTTCACAGAATTTATCAGTACAATAGGCTAACGGGAGAAAGATTAAACACAGTGGAGACAAAATTTACTCACTATGTCAGGCTAAGGTCAATGCAGTCCATCCTAAGGTTTTCTTCCCACTCTGAATCTGAGAGTAGAGGTGAATCTATTAGCATTATTAACTACTGACAGCACCTAGTCCAATCCCCTTATTTAAATAAGTATATAAGGAAACAAAGATGAAGTTGTGCCCAAGATCATAAAACTAATTAATGGCACAGCTCAGACTTAACCCAGGTCTCAAGTTTTGTGTTTTGTTTTTTTTTTAAACTATACTATGCTGCCTTCCCTACGTGGTGGATATGAGCTATCCAAAGGAGCAAGATAATCATGATAATAGGGAGTTGGAGTTAGGAAAACAGAGATCATGACCCATATCTTTTCCTCCAAAGAAGTTTGTTCAGTATCTATGTGGGAAAAAAGGTGCTGAAACTTTCCTCACCAAAGTCTTGATAGTCCCACTCTCCATTCCCCAATCTCACCAAGCTTCTTTCCTAATGCTTTGGGCTTTGCATAAAAGGAAATGAGGAAAGGAAATATGGAAAGAATTGAGAAGCAGTTTACATCTCTTCAGCAGTGGAGATGCTAGAAAGGATTCTTTTATTTATATGCTCTTTTTTCAACCTCTCTCTACCTGCTATTTAAAGCAAAGCTAGAGTTGATGCTTGGGGAACTAAAGAATAAAGGATTGGATCTTTCTGACCTGTGAGTTTCTGGATCTTTTTCAGTTTATACTTCTTTGAAGTCTAAGGTCACACAAAAAGAAAAAAGAAAATCAGGTTATGTTCTAAGTCAGAGACCCTGTTCACAGCACATCTCATCTTACAGACACAAATATTTACTACAGTTGGCATCTATAACTTTAACAACAATTACCACCTGTGGTGGAAATAATTTAACTTTACCCAAAACATTGGCCTTTGTCTTTGGTTCCTGAGAGATAGCATCTCTAAAACCTTGGAATGTTCCCAGTAATCGTAAGTGTCTTTGATGAGTGCTCCAGACCACATTAGCCCTTTGATGAAGGCCCCAGTTAACAAATTATACTAATGAGGTGTCCCTTGGGTATGCCTAGCCAGGTGGGAGAGACCTACTGCATGATATCAACCTTGTGATATCAATCTCATAATATTAACCAACCTTAGGGGAGAGGGGCTTGGGTTTGAATTATGTAACGAGACCCCTGTGGATATTGCACTTCCATGGGCTTCCTGGTTGGTGAAAGACATCAATGCACATGGGAGGATAGCATGTCCCTGTTAGGGACAATGGAAGTTCCTCATTGAGAGCCCTCTTGAACTTTGCTCTATACGTTTCTTCATGTGTATCCTTTTTGCTACAATTAAACCACAATAGTATAGTACTTTCTTGAGTTCTGTGACTCATTCTAGCAAATGATCAAACCTAAGGGAGTTGTGGGAGCTAGAGGCCAAAAGTAAGGGGGAGCCCTGGAAACCCTGAGTTTATGGCTGGTATCCTGAGGGGTAATGGCAAAAACCCAAAATTTGTAGCGAGGAGGTCAGAAGTGAGGATGTCTTTAGGGACTCCTAAGTTTGCAGTTGGCATCTGAGGTCTTGGTCAGACTTGGCAGTCTGGAGGACTGTGTCCTATAACTTGTCAGAACTGACCTGGTTAGGATCAGAGGAAGAATTGCTGCATATACAGCTAGTATCAGAACAGAAGTAGAACGAAGGGGAACGGAATTAATAATAGATTTAATAGATAATAAATTGACTTGATCAATCCTTACACTACCTCACTCATTTATTCATGAATCATTTATTGAGTATTAAGAACTAGGTACTATGTGGAGTTCTAGGACTACAAAAATAAATATGATCCCTGCATTCTAAGAATTTACACTAGTAAGGAAAACAGATGTCTAGACAGAAAAGTTACAATACAATGTGGTAAATGAGGTAACAGAAATATAAGTGCTAGGCAGTACAGAGGACAGACTGATTAACTAACTGCCTCAGAAAACCAAAAAAAAAAACCAACCTCACTGCCGTCTTCTCAGATCCAACTCATAGCAACCCCTCCTTGGGTTTCCTAGGCAGTATCACTATGGAAGTAGATTGCCCAGTCTTCATTCCAAGGAGTAGCTGGTGGGTTTAAACTGCCTGCCTTTTGGTTACCAGTCAAATGCCTTAGGCACCGTGCCACCAGAGCTCCCAACTGCCTCAGAAATAAGGGAAGAATTACTCAAAAAGTTGCCATTTGTATTGGAGTTAGAAATCAGCAGAATATTTTTAGGAGAAAAAAGAGCATCCCAGGCGAGTGGAAACATCACTGAGATCATTATATCATGATCATCAGGTGCATTTTTTGCTAAGTAGTCTGAGAGGAGGCTGAAAAGGTAGGAGGAGACCAAATGATGTTCAACTGTGAGAATTTCCCAATTAACAATAAAAGTGAACTCCTGGTGTCAGGGACATCAGGTTCAATTCACGTGACATACTACACAAAAATATTGTTCTACATCCTTCTTTGGTGAGTCAAGACTGGAGTCTTAAAAACTTGTACACGGCCATCTAAGATGTAACAATTTGTCTCTCCTCATCTGGAGCAAAGAAGAATGAAGAAAACCAAAGATACATTGAAACAATTAGTCCAAGGACTAGTGGACCATGTGAACCTCAGCCTACATGATCGTGAGACTTGAAGAACTACCTGATGCCTGGCTACCACCATCAACCACTCGTAAAGGGATCAGTGCAGGAGATGCTGGATAGAGTGGGAGAAAAATGTAGAACAAAACTAAAAATCATAAAATAGACCAGATTTGTCTGATAGAGACAGTTGAAACCTCCAAGACTATGGCCCCTAGTTCCCCTTCAGGCTTGGAATTGAATTCATTCCTGTGGCTTCCAGCAAAACAATAGACAGGCAGGTAGGGTAAACATTTATACAGGTAGGTACACTCCTCAGAACAATCAACCATGGGAGATCAGAAGGGCAGTATTTGCACAGGGAGATAGCTCAGAGGGCAGGAATGCAAAGGAAAGAAGGAAACAGAGAAAAGATAACCACAGGGAGGAACTGGGAAGAGCTCTGTTACATTACAGGGATTGCAATCAATGTCATGAAACAAAACGTGTATGAACTGTTGTATGGGAAATGAATTTGCTCTGTAAACTTTCATCCAAATCACAATTGAAAAAGAAAAAAGAAAGTAAGTTAACTCCTGGGGTTTTTAAAAAGGTGTTGCAGGTTATTTGAAAGCAGTAATGACATTGGTTGCAATGTCAAATAAAACTAATAATTATGCATTTCTTGCCTTTGAATCAGGGCATCTGTTTCTGAGTTTTTCAAAAGATCCTACACACCAATTAGTGAGGACTTCATGAATATGAAGGAGCCCTGGTGGCACAGTGGGTAAAGTGCTTGGCTGCTAATCAGAAAGTCCAGTTGCAACCCACCAGCAGCTTCACAAGAGAAAGATTACAGCCTTGGAGACCCTATGGAGCAGTTCTACTCTGTCCTATGAGTTGCAATTGACTCCATGGGAATGGGGTTGGTTTTTTGGTTTAATCTTTATGGATGCAGACTACCACATCTTTTTCTCCTGGAGCAGCTGGTGGATTTGATCTGCTGACATTTCAGTTAGCAGCCAAGAACTTGACGACTGCACTCCCAGAGTTCCTTTATTTGGAAATAAGACCCCAGAAAAGTCCAGTATCCTCAAATGGCTGCACACTCAATGAATAGGTGGATAAACTGAAACCAAACTCACTGCCGTTGAGTTGGATCCAACTCACAGTGACCCCTCCTTGGGTTTCCAAGGTGGTATCTCTATGCAAGTAGATTATCCAACCTTCCTTCCAACCTTCCTTCAAATCTGGTGGATTTGAACTGTCAGCCTTCTGGTTAGCAGTCAAATGCCTTAAGCACTATGCCACCAGAGCTCCTGAATAGGTGGATAGGAGGAAAAAATAAAATAAAATCTGTCCACCAGACAAGAAAACTTGAGATCTAGGTGGAAAAAAAAGTTTTGTCTGAGAATTTTCACCATGTGTCTATTATATTGGTTTGCAGTACTAATTTATGCTCATGATATAGCCAGTAACCCTCAAAATGAAAATAATGTGGTCCTGGGCTGGTAATAAAAGGAGCTCTGGTGGTATAGTAGTTAAGACATTTGGCTGCTAACCAAAAGGTCAATGGTACAACCTCACTAGTCGCTCTGTGGAAGAAAGATGGGGCAGCCTGCTTCTGTAGTTTTATAGCCTTGGAAACCTAACGGGGGTCGCTGAGTAGGAATCTACTCCATGGCAGTGAGTCTGATTTTGGTTTGGGGCTGGAAATGCCCTTAGAGAAATAACCCACCTGCCACCAGTCAATTCTGCCTCAAAGGAAAGAGTAGAACTACTCCATGGGGTTCCCAAGGCTGTAAATCTTTACAGAAGCAGACTGCCTCATTTTTATCCCACGGAGAGGCTGGTGAGTTCATACCACACACCTTTTTGTTAGCAGCACTGCACCACCAGAGCCCCTTAGTAAAGTAGTAAAGAGATATAACGATCTCAGTGATGTTTCCACTCGCCTGGGATGCTCTTTTTTCTCCTAAAAATATTCTGCTGATTTCTAACTCCAATACAAATGGCAACTTTTTGAGTAATTCTTCCCTTATTCTGAGGCAGTTGGGAGCTCTGGTGACACTGTGCCTAAGGCATTTGACTGGTAACCAAAAGGCAGGCAGTTCAAACCCACGAACCACTCCTTGGAAGGAAGATTGGGCAACTCCCCATTCTTCTGCTTCTTTTTAATTTACAGCGAGAAAATTAATGGTTAAAAAAAATAATTTACATTTAGTTTGATACATTGCTTTCAGAGCGCTCTGGTAGTGCCATGGTTAATGCATTTGGCTGCTGATCAAAAGGTCATGGATTCGAGCTCACCAGCCACTCCATGGGAGTAAGATGAGGCAGTCTGCTTTTGCAGAGATTCATAGCTTTGGAAACCCTCTGAAGCAGTTCTACTCTGTCCTAGAGGGTCACTATTAGTTGGAATTGACTCAATGGCAGTGGGTTTATATATTAATAAATGTGGAAAACCTGATGTAATGGTTAAATTCCTAGAAAAATAAAATAACAAAATTTGGCAAAAAGAAATAGGTAATTTGAATAAATGAATAAGAATGAAAGCAATTGTAGTTCACACAAAGAGTTGTACCTGAATGTCCATAGCAGTATTTATAGCCCAAAGTTGAAAATAGCCCAAATGTTCATCAACTGACCAATGGATAAATATAATGTGATATATTTACATGGTGGAATATTAATTGGCCATAAGAAGAAATGTAGCACTGATATATACTACAATGTGGAAAATCACCTTGAAAATATTATGATAAGCGAAAGAAACTAGTAACAAAGGACCACATGTGATACCTCTTACATGAAATGTTCAGAACCAGCAAAGCTAAAGACAGAAACCTGAGTGTTGATTTCCTAGGACTGAGGGAGATGAAGGAGAGCAGGATGAAGGTGAAGGGGGCAGTGTTTCTTTTGGGGATGATGAAAATTATCTAAAATTAATCATGGTGTTGGATGCACCAACTGTGTGAATATACTAAAAGCCATTAAACTGTATATTTTAATTGGGTAAATTTCATGATATATGATTATATCTCAATAAAGCTGTTTGAAAAAGTAAAAAACAAAAAAAAGAATGAAAGCAATTGAAATGATAACCAAAGATGTTCTCCCACAGACCTAATAATTTATGAAGTTTGCTGAACAGAACAACTTACAAATACAAATAACATAATTCTACTGCAACAAAAAGGCAGAAAAGTATAATAAAGATATAATTTATAAGAGCAATAAATATGATAAATTATCAAGGTATTAACCAGGAATACAGAAGAACTTCATGGAGAAAATTATAGAACTCAATCTACCTCCATAGTGATACTGCCTCGGACACCCAAGGAGGGATTGCTATGAGTTGGATTCAACTCCACAGCAGTGAGTTTGGTTTGGTTTAATAAAGGACGTAGAAGGTATGATTAAATGGAGACATTCCAGGGTCTTGGTTGTAATAATTTAAAATTATAAATATACAACTACTCCCCAAATTAAATTATATTTAAATTCCCAATCAAAATTTCAGTTGGGATGTTTGAAGAACTAGTTGTTGTTATTGTTATTATGTGCTGTCTAGTCGGACCCGACTCATAGCGACCCCTCCTTGGGTTTCCAAGGCAGTATCACTACGTAAGTAGCTTGCCCCATCTTCCTTCCAAGGAGTGGCAGGTGGGTTTGAACTGCCAGCCTTCTGGTTAGCGGTTATATAGAGACATAAAAGTCCACATATAGCCAAATCAACCTTGCAAAGAAAAGACTTTCTGCACTAAACATTAAGCTATACTACAAAGTTATGATAATAAAAACAAAAATGAATAGACCAGTGGAACACAACAGAAAACTCAGAGACAGATTCCATATATATAT